AAAAAATGAAAGAAATGCAAAAAAACAAAACAAAACTCATCGTAAACCCTTCTCACACACACACACACACACACACACACACACACACACACACACACACACACACACAGAAACCTCACAATGGGAACCAGACAGAAGAAGATGAGGGAAAGAGGGAAATGAGGTGAGGCAAACGGCAGTAAGCTAAAGACAAGGAAGGACAAAAGGACAAGCAGGGAAAAAAATGAAAGAAATGCAAAAAAACAAAACAAAATATGAGCGAGGATGTGGTGTGGTGTATATCTGAATAATAATTAGAAAACATAGAAGCTGTTCTGAGTAAAAGCATCTGAATAAACACAAAGAAATGTGTAATATGGAGGAGGCATTATTCCCTTAAGCAAAACTTAGTCCAAATATTTCAGAGACTGTTATTTTCTAGGTTTGGATTTAAAGAAAATTTTAAATACTCGAAAGAACAGATGTGTAGCAATTTATTTAATTTGATCCTGTAGAGATTTAAGTATGACGGCAAAGTAGAAATACCAAAAGCAACCAATAATTTCAATGTTAAATGTACAATATATATAACTTCGGCCACTAGGAGTCTCTCTGTTAATATAAAAGACCTAGTTTGTTGAAGCAGCGTGGGTTCATGTGTTAAAGTTTACCCATACAACAATGAATAATCGTGATCCATAACAAGTTGGGGCATAATTTATGATGGCGATCGGGGGTTGTAACTATCCCAATAATAAAAACTGGCCTGTACAACCCCCTCCCAATAACAATACTGTCTCACTGAATGACAAATATTGAATGTTTTAAAACATTGTAAAAAACTTGGTTTTCTCGATTCAATTAATTTTGCAGCACAAACTTACTTTACTCTATTTTGTTGAAGTTACTATGGTTACAAGCTATCTTGCTGGTATGATGTATAAATAATGATTATTTATATATTAAGTTACATCAAGAAATTATTCAATGGTGAGAGACAAAATAATAATTTAGGGATTATCCAGAGGACTCCTCCATCCCCCACCCCAATATTCAACCCAAAGTTATGCCCTTGATTACCAGTGACCAATGGTGTGGAAGGATGAACAACAGGCTGGCTAACTGGCTAGCAGGGTGTTTTTCCTTAGTCATTCGACGTTAGTCCTGGAAGTTATAGCAAAGACAGACAAAGTCATGGGTAAAGCTGATATGACGCATGAGGATGTGGAGGAAGCCAATGAACTGATCGAGACCGGTACTTGCTACATTTGACTGACAGATGGTATAAAGTGAGGGAGGAGGACAGGCTGAGAGACAAATCATATATTTGGGCCACAGGGAAAGTCATCTGTCAGCGTCCCGGCAAGATAATTGCAAGACAATGGATAATGATAAGTCATCATTCCACTTAATTGATTTCATCACAGGAGCATCAGCACACTCTAAAAATAACTCATCAGTCAGACGGACCATATTTACTGTTACTCAGAGCCTCAGTCAGTGCTACAAGTTACTGTGCTTTTTATCACGAACCAGGTTGTAAAATCAGATTTACTGTGGTGATAGAAACAATGTGAACATTCAGCAAGTTTATAATTGCAACAGAAGGATTTCTGAATGAGCGAGTACAGGCCAGAGGGTGCAAACGTTCTGATCCTAAAGCCAAAGCTTGTTATGAGTGTTTCTTGTTAGAAGTCTAAGGCCCACGATATCATTGTACACGTTATCATTCATATGCTTGCTCTGGTACCAAGTGTGTTGGTGGAGGATTAGAGTGGAGGGCACCACAGAACTCCCTAAAGATTGTAGAGCGCTCCGCTCTGCCACTCACACATTTCCTTGCGGTTAACACAAAGATGGCAACACTCCAGGGCATCAACATTTGGCTAAAGTTAACATCAAGACAAAAAAGTAATGATCATGCATTTGTAGGTAGTATGTCAGACTCCAAAATCAGAAACATTGTGAAAACCGCTTTACTTATCTCATTCTACCAATGGGGCTCCTCAATTTTTGTCGCTGATAATGTGCCCACCAACCCTGTCAAGGACTCACTACTGCCCCAATCTTTTTGTAGGTATTGCATCTTGCATACGCAACTTAAGCACCAAACGGAAACAGGATAAGTGAAGTATATTGCAGGCCTAAGAGCTGAGCCGTCCTGATTTTGTTCTTTCACTTCATTCTTAACTATAAACATTTACTGCAGCTTAACTCAAACTTCACATACTTAGCTATTCCTGAAACTTTTCAACACTAGACAGTTGAAGCTGGAGATCTGCATTTATCCAACCTCTATCTGACTTTGGCTAAATTTAACTGTGACACTCACAGTGCTGCAAGAAGTCAACAACACCCAGAGTAACCATCACAGATGTCATGAAAGTGCAGCTCACCTGGGACACACAGACACCTGTAGCTGTTGCCTGTGCTACGGCAGACACCATGGGCGCAGGGATTCAGGGCGCAGAAGTCCACCAGCTGGGCGCATGTTGGGCCGGTGAAGCCTGCTGTGCAGCTGCAGCCAAACCCCAGGGGGCCGGGGCCCTGGGCGTAGCACGTCCCGTTATTGTGACAGGGGCTGGAGGCGCACGGGTCCACCTTCTGCTCACATGTCGCACCTTGGTAACCTGCAAGAGAAGTAAGATAGACAATCAGATACATACGTATTCCATTGCAAATTTGTAAGTCCTTAACAGGCCTTGCACCCAAATACCGTTACCCAAATTTATTTTGACCAGGTCCTTCCTTTCTCAACCGCTAAGATCCGTTGATTGATCATTGATAAATCCCAGGTCTCACTTTGTAAAAAGGGTGATCGAGCCTTTGTTGTGTTACAGTAGAGGTGCTTTACTGGGAGCATCCAAAATAGGATTATGTAAAACATTTGTGTTCTCTCCTTTTGCATTTAGCTTTTGCAAGCATCACAATTTAAGCAGCGACTGACTTGTCCAGGTTTTCAAAAACAATCATTAACTCTGCTCGTGTCGTTGTCGACATTTGTTGTCGCTCACCTCACCACCAGTTTTGCTGACTAAAGTCAGATGAAACACTTCAGCTTTGTCAACAAATAAACCTACAGGCAACATGATGGTTCACATTGAGCACAGCCGGAGGTTTGGGTTTATGCAGATCATGTCGTAGAGTGTGATACCTATGTGACATCCATTATGGCATGAAATTGCAGCCCCCCCAGCCCACTAAGACCACGTCTTAATGCAAATAAGCTCACAGGGAATCACAGAGAATCTTTGGTGGGTTTAACTGCACACAAGAGACGTCTCCATAATATATGGTGAGATTTGAAAGCAAATAAGCTCCTTCCCCAAAATGTGAAACTGAAACCGAAGCAGTGATAGAAATGATTAAAGATGTGAAAGACAGTGGTAGCAGCCGTCTTTGAGGAGGTCAAGTGGATAGTTTGAAATGGTACAAATACCTTAGTCACATTAAAAGCCCTTGAAACCTCACGATCAGGTAACAGCCTGTTTATATAATTTATCTGTATGTCTAAAGTAATACATCACATATGGTCCATATGGCCTTGAACCCCTTTGCTGAAGTAATTTATTCTGGTGGATTTTTATATGGTGTGTGTTGTGTAAATATTTGTTCCTTTTAGGCTGTATTTCTTAAGTTCCTCTCTGTGTTTACACAGTTGTCCACTGTGGCTGTTGTTGTTTAAAACCCAAATACATTTTAATCATAGTAAGAGACAGGAACTGGTTTGATTCTGTCATCTTCCACCGACTCAAAGTTAATGTTCTTTCTTTTATTTTTTCCACTTCATTGTGAGAGCGAAAGAAAAACAGAGCGAAAGCATCTCAGCAGACAAACAATTCTTGTTGTTCAGAACAATGTTGTGTTGCACCAGTGTCTCTAGTGATGTGTTTTCTGTGGGACAATGCCTGTGCACTCCATTTCCCTGTGTGTGTTACTTTTTGTGCTGAAGCCACTGTTTTCTTCTTCATTATCTATGTGAGGCTGCGCTACTTCACCTTTTCTTTCCCCTCTAAAAATAACCTATTTTCTTCACCTCCTCTGTTCCTCTGTCTTCAACTCCCATGAGGACTGCCATTGTGTTGCAGCTCAGAGAAAGACTGCCGCTGCGTTATGTGCACATGCATCGCTGTGAGATAGTGTGTGTGTCTCCTATGCAGTAACAGTCATAGTAAATCCCTGCGCTGACTGCACCCTCCATTGAGCTAATGAAGAGATCCCTCTCAAGCAGCCATTGATCTGCAAGACTTTATTTCACGGTTTGAGAACATTTATCATTCAGCAGCAGAGAGACAGGAGCAATCTGCAGCTTTCTCTTCTCTTCTTCTTCTTCCTCTCTCTGTCCTCTACCTCGTTCTGCTTCAGCCTCTCCTTTCTCCGCTCCTCTGCCTCCCTCCAAACTCCCTCAACTCTTCTTCCCCTTCTCTCTTAAACGCTTGCAAACACACACAGATGCCGACCAACACACACACACACACACACACACACACACACACACACACACACAAGCTCTTGCATGAATTTAATTTGATGATCTGTATTTGTTCTGTCATGGTTTAATCCCCTTTTCCTCTGTATTTAGCTTCTTTTCTCCGTGTGTGTAGATCTGTGGGCACATCTATGTCTCTGTCTCTGTTTTCAGCTTATTTGTTTGTACATCTATCTCTCTTCCTAAAGATGCACAAGCACACGCACACACACACACACACACACACACATTGTGACATGAGACCTGTCGGAGGCTGACATACATGATTCTTCGCCTTTCGGCATTCAAACCTGACAACATAAAAAAAAAAGAGTTAACAGTTTAAATTTAGCTGGCCTGTTCACTCCCCCGCCCTGCCACTTCTGACTGGAGGCAGTCACAGTACTGACACTCACACTGTCTCCTCTGTTAATGTGTATAAATGTGTGTGTGTGCAGAGACTGTGAGATGAAGACTCTACAACAGATGACAACCTGAAATTATTATGATTAACTTGTGAATATCCATTCATTCATTATATAAAACCACTTATTCTTTGAGAGTCAAACGACAGCCGATTCGATTGCAGGGCTGACATATAGAGACAAGTAACCATTCACACCTACAGGCAATTTAGAGTCTCAAATTAACCAAACCTGCATGTCTTTGGACTGTGGGAGGAAGCTGTAGTGCAGGAGGAAACCCACACAGACCAGTGGAGAACATGCAAACTCCACTGGTCGGCCGTCAGATTCAACTCAGAACTTTCTTCTGTTGCGGCAACAGTGCAACACAACCACCAGCATGCAATACCCTAACTTTAGGCCATGTATGTTTGTACGCATGTCTGAAGGTGTTCAGTTATAGAGCTGACATCATATACGGTATGTGAAGACCTGATGTCTACTAAAGGTCAATGATCCAACTTTTAATGGCTTCAGCACCAAATTACTTGTTGTCTCCTCCAAGGAGGTTGTGTTTGTTAGCTATTCAGCAGGAATACACGAATACGCTTTTTTCTTCTGGTCAGTTGAATCTTTCTGTATTAATCTGCAAATAAACAGCTGCTGCTGCTGTTATATGAAACACATTACTTTCTCAGCCCCAATGTTATCGAACGACAACAGCTTTTAGAATATAGAAAAAAGTGGATCATTTCTTCATATAGGTATACAAAGATGGAGGACATGCTCATCAAGAAATGAAGCCCAAATATCCTGGACACAAAACAACACTTCTTTATGGTCCAGAAGCCTCAAACATTATAAACGGAAGATGATGATGAACGTTGATTAAAGCTGTGAGTCTTTGCTGATAAATGAGCTTCATAGATTTAGGTAAACTGGATATAAAGATGGTTGACACGTCTCTTCTTCAACCCACTATCCAAAAATGAAGCCAAAATACCGCTAATGCAAATGCTGCCATCTTTCGCATTTGGATCCAGAGTCTGTGGAGTAACAATCAATCCTGTCAATAAACGCACTCGACCAATCAGCAGTCAGTCTCTGCCATCAATCATGACATTTCCATTTTGCATCAAATAACTAAATAAAACAAAACCTGTCGGAAAGATTACCACTGGGACAAACATCAGAGTAACAAGAACTTCCTAATATGATAGAACTCACCTTTGAAAAATATATAGTTACCATATACTTTGACTTTTAAGTTTAGTCCATGTCCAATCCACTAACATGGAGGAGGTGGGACTCATGACCTATTCTGCAGCTAGCCAACAGGTGGCTACTTCGATTCTTTGGCTTCACTTTTGGGGAGCAGTAATGTTATCCATTATTTACAGTTCATGTTTCCTTATGTTCTGTCATATTGAATCATTCCGTAAAACATGTCTCGTTCTATATACATGTATATTATAGCCCACTTGTCAGAGCAGTATTAACAATGGCTGTATTCTATTCAAGTGCTCCAGCAATTAAACTGAAAAAACAGATCCACTTTAGTGCCACAGATTGCTTTAACCTGCTGCCTCCTGTAAATAAACACACAGATTGGTAATTTCTTCAAAAGTCAAAGTTCAGAATTATCTAATAAACCCATTAAATTTCTGAAGGCGCCCTCTCAACAAAATCTCTTCACACTAATTAAGGGTTGCTGGCACGGCTCTCTCCGGTGCTGACAGAGCTGATTCTCTCATTTTATGAAAATAAACAAACAAAAGGCAGTTTGTGAATTATTTTCAGGTTTAGAGACCATGTTGTTTATTTTATTTTGGCAGCTGCAGATTAAGAATACAGCCAGGAGTTCCAGTATGACTAAGACCTCCACAATGAGAATGAACTGACCTGTGTGAGCTGTACCATCGGGTCATTGTGCAAGGTCCATTGTTACCTTCTCCCCTGTATTCTGCATGTGTGTGTGCGCACGGACAGTCTGTATGCAACTGTACATTCACTGGACATTGTGTGTGTGAATCACAAACGAGAGAAATGCTTTTATGCCGAAGTTTTGCGGTCACAGATTTCCCCAGAGAGGCTGATGCAGGTCAGTGAGGCTATGAAGACTAATTAGTATAGAAGAGGAAGATTTAAATTAAGCGTGGCACAGATACAAACACACACACACACACACACACACAC